AAAAAAAACTTCATGCAAGGAAGTGCATGGTACTGTAGCAAAATACCCTGTCTAAATTGATGCAGATGAATTTTTTTCTTCTCTCTCGTCCTCCTCATAAATGAGAGCACTTCCTTTAGCTTAAATCATTGTTTTCAGTCGGACAAAACCCAAAGTTTCAGTTCAAATTTTGGAATCGAGGTGCTCAACAATGAGATTGTGGTGGCCGGAGGATACGGTGGCATGGTGGGTACAGTTGGCGATTGCGAAACATACGATTTCCGCATGGACGCCTGGCGAGATATGCCATCCATGGATTTGCGTCGATCGGCCGTTTATCTTACGAAGATCGAACACCACGAGATAATCGAGGAATTCTTACGATCCATTTGTCTCTTTTAACCGTAACTACTCATATTTATGTGTTTTAATGAACAATAAATGTTTAATTTATCATCGTATCACATGCAAAGCGTGCTTTTCCACCGTAAGTTGAAAAGATTTGTACTCGCAACTCCTTCCTTGTAGCCGATTTCCGCAAAAGCAATGAGCCTCAAGTGGCTTATCGGGAAAGGATATGTAAATTTTGCGACAAGCAGCTAAATCTAGTTCAATGCCAGCGGTATACCATTATAGTTCAAATGTACACAAACTTCCCTTCCCGGCCACCCGCGCCTTCTCTCCTCTCCATATTCTCCTAAGGTTATCGTCAATCGATGTAGATTGTTTCTAGCATTCAAAGCGAGTCAGTACTGGGAAGCAGTGACGCAAATATTTGAGAAACTAAACACTGGTGTACCTCGGTAAAAGATTTGCATATGGTCCTCATGTTAGTTTGTATTTATTTCTTTTTAGCACTGCGTACAGGAATCCTACTTCACCGTGGTCTCGAAGTGATGGTATTTGAGAGGAATTGGTGATGCGCAACACATACTATTGGTCTCGAAACGACTAACATCTTATTAATACTTTTATGCCGGTGAAAAACATTGGTCTGTTAATGCATTCAAGCGACTAAGCGAGCGCCAGGATCACTAAATTGATCAAAACAGCTACAAAAGTAACCGGCTAAATAGCTGCAGGAAGATTTTATGAGTAACATTTGAACTTTCAAGACACATTTTTTCTCACTCCATGAAATCCCTTTTAACTAATGGTTTCTTATTCGCTGCAATCATTTGCGTTATATCAGTGCTATGGAAATTCATACGGTATGAAGACACGGATGAAATGTCATGGATAAATGAAATATCACAGGTTTTTATTATTA